CTAGTGTAAGTGGTTTTATTCACTTGGCCACTGGTTAGAATGATCTGGGCAATTCAGGAGACAATCATTAGGAAACTTTCCATCTCACTCAGTCTGTCCTTGCCTTATCTTGTTAGATCTCATAAATTTGATATACTTGTAGTTTATTTCTAAATTCTGTTGGTCTAAGCTTCTTGTGGTCTTGGCCTCGATCTTTGTATATGACCGAATCATTTCAGTTGTTTTCATTTTGTCCTTATGATATTTGGACTTTTGTCAACAGTTCTTTGTGATCCGTATAGGAAATTCTTAATAACTTTCTGTAGCATTTCAATTGAGAATATAACCTAAACTTATATGTATATTATTCTTTAACAGAAGAGAAAACACCAAGAAACTAATATCAAATGTTTACTATCTCATAAATCATTTAATGTGGATAATCCAGAAAAGGATAACTGTTCTATCATTAATTTTACAAATAACATAATGAAAGATGGAGAATCGGAAGAAACTAGTATGGATATTAGCCATTCTCACTTTAACGATGACAGTCATGTAAGTATATTTTTGTATTATAGATGTATGTATAAGTTATATTAATTAATTACGTTCCAGGTATCACTAACATATCATAATCACGATCATAATTTGCCATTACGGAAGGACGGGGTTAACACGGTGGCCACTGTAGCATGGATGATCATATTTGGAGATGGATTTCATAATTTTATTGATGGTTTATCTATAGGAGCAGCCTTTTCCGAAAGTATCTTGGCCGGGATAAGCATATCTGTAGCCGTTGTTTGTGAGGAATTTCCTCACGAATTAGGTATATATTAAATTAACAATAGAATGAATGCGCAATTATTCCTTAATGGATAATTTTCTTATATTCTTTTTTCAGGCGATTTTGCAGTATTAATTAACGCAGGAATGTCAATGAAACAAGCTTTGATATACAATTTCATGTCGGCCTGTACGTGTTATATCGGTTTTATATTTGGTGTCGTATTAGGAGACTTAGCAGAAGGAAGTTATTATATCTTCGCTTTTGCTGGAGGAATGTTTCTCTACATATCTTTAGTAGACATGGTAAATTATTTTTTTAAGTCTTAAAGAAAAAATATACCAATTTTAATATTAAATTTTCATTAACTGAACGTTTTTAGATGGGAGAATTAAACGATGCCATTAGAGAAACTCAACCGAAAGGAGTTGGTAAAACATTAAAAGTATTCCTCCTTCAAAATATAGGCATTCTTATTGGTGTAGTGTCCTTGTTTGTGTTGGCAAGATATAGCGAAAAAATAAATTTCGATTCATTTTATCAGACAGAAGAATCTTTAATAAGTTAAAAGTTCTGGAAATAAAAGTGTGAATGATCAAAGACTATGTTTAAAGAATTTATTTATTATATTTGTAATGTTAAAAATGTATTTTTAAATGTATACCTTCTATACATCAAAAAATATTTGTTATTATTGTTAAATACTCTTTAATAAAATGTTATATTTTTGTTTTATTCTACTTAATTATTGCATTATCCAACATCATTTTATATAATTTTACATAGTATTTTAAAACTTTTAGAAATAAATAATTTGAAATGTATTCAGTTACTTCAAAGTATGAGGTTGCTGGAATGGCATCAGTCTGCTCTTCTCATAAAAATTACAGTTAAATGAATTAATCTACAATAATTGCTATATATTTTCTTTTACATAATAAATAATAGAGTATGGAGGTATTTGAGATAGCTGCTTTAAATTTTCAAGATAACCTTAGAGTTAGTGCTGGATTTGAATAAAAATTATGGCTTCATAACCAGATTCTCAGCTTAACAACTCAAGTTGTTAAATTTATCATCTGAAGGAGAAAGAACCACTTATATGTAATATCTTTGACTATAATTCAAAATCTGGCTTTGTTTATAAGACTAATATAAATTCCTGTAATAATTCTTATAGGACCAAATATCTGTAAAGACATCAGTCCAGTGTTTTGGAGACATATGTTCAGGTTGAAATTAGCATAATTTGGTTTTAGTCAGCAAATATAATTTTAGTACTAAACTAAAATTACACATATACTGTGTAAAGTCTAAAAGAAACTAAACCTAGGAATATGATTGTAACAATATTAGTTGAAATCTCAGGAAGCTCTTGTAGTTGGTTTTACCTGAACATGACTATACTTACTGTCATTTTCAGATAAAACCAACTACAATACTCCCCTATCCCCACTGTGGATTTGAAAATAGGCATTGAAAGATAGACTCTTAGTTCCCAGATAGGAAAAAGTTATATCCTCCTTTTTTTTCTTTTTGTTAATGGACCAAAAAGTTCCAGCATAAAATTTTGAAAAGAAAATCTCTGAAATAATTTTTTATATAGTTTTAATTGACTTTTTGAATTATTCATTTTTATTACTATTTTAATTGTGACTATTAAGTAATTATTTATATAATTTTTTACTGATTCTGATAAGTTCACTGATTAATTCACTAATTAATCAGTGAACATGTTTTTAATGTCTAATAAAACAATTAAATACATACAATTTATGGTCTACATTTTACTATTCTTCACATCATATCATAAATTTATGCTAATTTTAATAAGATAGTTGTGAATTTGTTTTTTTAATGTTTAATAAACTTTAAAAATTAAATTAGTTGTGTTTGTTTATATTCTAAATTGCTATATCTTAACTAAAAAAATTTATTCTTGAACAATTATTACATAAAAATTAAAAATATGAAATATCTTTGAACTATTTTCTATTTAAAAACTCTTCTTTTATAAAATATTTTTTATAAAACATAATAATACAGTAATTATATATCATACAATTTTCAATTTTAGCACACAAATTCAAACAAATCTACCAGAAAATTCAGAAATGTAAGCAAACATGATGTATTTCTTTTGCAAATTGAGCCTTAGATAGCAATCTGAGACTTGAACAGACCATTATATTTGAGATGTAAACTGAAATGGTTAGATTGAATTTGTTATATGAGATATTAATACTTGAATTACACATTAGTGGCTAATCTTTTGCATAACTGAAGTTTGGAACGCCTGCACTAAATTACATATGAAAAATCATGAACAAGTGGAATAAATTCATATCAGATTTTTACAGAAAAATAGGAAATACTATAGACTAATCCTGTCCATTATAAACAAGCCTAATCTAAAAACTATGTCAGCCATTAGTAAACAATGAGGAAGTATCATATAAATTTGTGTATATCCTGTCTACTTAGACCTTGTCTATTATTAAGACTTATTATACTGGTGTTGTTTCTGATTAGCAAATAGAGAAGATCTAAGTCAAAATAAAGATATTTTGCTTATATTCTAAATTGCTATATCTTAGCTAAAAAAATTCACTCTTGAACAATTATTACACAAAAATAAAAATATCAAATAGATTTTCAGGTGAAAATACTGTATATTTTTTTTTTACTTTTTGACTAAGATCTCCTCTATTTGCTAATCAGAAATAATAATAAGTCTTAATAATAGACAAGGTCCAAGTAGACAGGATATACACAGAAATTTAAAAGAATAAGGACATAGATGTAAAAAGAATTAAGTATCATATTAACTCATGAAAAATCAGGAGTGCTACAATTGGATCCAAACTCTACCATAGAAAATTTTCTTAATGATTCTCCAAGATTTAAGATCTTCAAAAGATTGAATGAATAAAAGTTTTGATAGATAATTATTTCTAAAAATGATTAGTCAAGATACCAAATGTTTACACAAAATGATCATTTTTCACAGAAATATTAAAGACTGATATAAAAACAAAACAATGATTAACATATTATTTTTATATCACATATTAAACTCATTTATGTAATAAATTTTAAATTTTTATTTCAAAATATTTTATATAGATCATCATTTTTGAAGCTTATAAATTATACTTTTATTAAATATCATAATTTTGATACTATCAGAGACTATTTCACTTTTATAAATTAGTTTCTTAAATATTTAATAAATAAAAATATTTAAATCATATAAAAAATAATATTTTATACTATTGACATTATACTAGTAAAAAGCTAGTGAATTTCAATTAAACTTGTTGTTTTATAAAATTATTCTACATTCTAATTATAAGTTAGCATTAAAAACTTATTCATTTGTAATATTTTACTTTTGTTATAAAAGTTTCTACATTGTACAGTATTTAGAGAAAAAATTTTTAAATTTATTTTTGTTTAATGGATTGGATATCTTTTTGCAAGAGATCAGACTATTGTCAGTTAAATGGCCTTTTTCCATTATGAATGAACATAATTTGCAATAAAGTTTATCAGTTCAAATAAAGAATGAATAATAATATGAATTCAACTTGGATGGAGTAGGATAACACTTTTAATGGCTTCAATTTAGATTAATTTTATGCAATAAAATTTTATTTATGTAAAACAATTTATTTTCTAGGATTCATATATAAATTTATAGTTTGTTTTAATTTGAGTATTTCAATTAAAATTACCTTAAACATTATTTTTTCATAAATAATTTTTATTCATTCATAAAGTGCAAATCAATTATAATACAAATGTGTAAAAAATCATCATAAAGAAATCACTGCTTGTACTGTACCTCTTCATACCCAAACAAAAGAAATGTTTTCATCACGAGTTGACCATTTTTATTGTAAAATCTGGCATGTAATAGCTTAGAATAATGCATAATATAATACAGTATATATTGTATTTCTGCACAAATAAGAGCATGTTCTTATATGTGAAAATCACTTGTTTTTTTCATTTTAGAAACACATCTTGCTTCACTTACAAGAGTACTGCATTAATGAGTCAATACAAATTACATGTAATGAACTGATAAAGTAAGTATTCAGTGACATCTCTGTGGTNTTGTTTTTGAATAGAAGGGAGAACTTTTCCTAGGAAAACAGAACAGTGCAGTGTTGATGGAGTTATACAGTAACTTCAGCCATGTCATGATCAAACATGTTCTTATATGTGAAAATCACTTGTTTTTTTCATTTTAGAAACACATCTTGCTTCACTTACAAGAGTACTGCATTGATGAGTCAATACAAATTACATGTAATGAACTGATAAAGTAAGTATTCAGTGACATCTCTGTGGTAATCAGCCCACCAGTGGCCAAGTGGTCTTTGTACCCTGAATACTGGAGTTTGGTTGTGGGTTTGTGCCTCACTTGGACGGGCTGACCACGTGGAGTTTTCTGGGTTTTCTCCACATCTTTAATGCCTAAATATGGGCCAGTTTCCCTTAAAAAGACCTCCCGGAAGACATCCCCTAGGCAGATCGCCCAAGTGTTGCATTGCGATAACTTAAACAAACAAACAAACTCTGTGGTAATCATTATTAAAAATATAAAAAAATGCTTCTTATACTATAAAAGTTTGTTTTAAAATAGTGAACTTTTTAAGGTACTTTGCAAAATATACTGATGATTTTGCCCCATCTATAAGAACATGTTCTTATACGTATCGAAATATAGCACATATGAGTTTGAATGCATTCTATGCTTACTTTAAGTTGCAAGATTTTAAGCTGAAGATGGTCATATCTTAACTGAAAATGTTTCTTTTGTTGGCTTTCTAAAACAAATAGCAATTTCTTTATTTACAAAGATGATACCAAGTTTCATAACTTTTTACTAAAAAAAGTCATTATCACACTACTAAAAATTAATTTAATTATAAAAATTACATAGAGTGAATTTCTGTGAAATGTTTTTGCACTCATAATAAAATTTAATAATAAATTTTTTACTATTTTCATTAATTGTTTTCAATGCATATAAATTTTTTGATTACAATAAATCACAGATGAGAACAGTTTCAAAATATCACAGTATTAATATTGGTCCCAATATCTAAAGACAGGATGGCATATTTAAAACTATTTACAAATATAATGTACAAAATAAATATAATTTAATTTATTAAAATAATGTATTTATTGCAAACATTAAATTTTTTTTTAATTTGAAAATTCATAGAATTAAAAATTATTATAGCTTCTTAAAAATCGTGCATCATATAGTAATCAGTCAAATTAAAGTGAATTTCAGCATCTATATCTATTCAAGCTTCACCTGTCTGAATAATTTTAATTAAAGAATTCAAATTATTGTTCTTGATAGCATTGCGACATTTACCAATAACTTGTGTCTTGGGTTTTCCAGCTAATAAAATTATTTTTATTATACAAATAAAATAATTAAACTTTTAATAAGGAAATTAAAATATGTTACTCACCTCTAAGATGTCCAGCTCTTTGAATAATTTGATTAATTTGTTTCAAGCAATTCAAAAGCTCCTCATGATTATTAGATCGTATCTTATAATTGCTAATTAGCTCATGGTTGAGAGCATGTAATTCCTGATACCATTTTCTCATAGCTTTGCTTAAATTATAACAATGTCTGACATTTTAATTTTATATTTCACAGTTAATTCTCTAAGAAATAAATAAATAACTTACTAATTTCCCATTAGACGAGCATCTTCAGCATGGATAACAAAACTACGAATTGCACCTGAATTATCAGCCATGTCTGCTGAAAGCCTTTGTCGAACAGATTGCAACTCTTCTACCTATTTATTCATTAATTAAATAATTAATTAATTTAAGAGAACTGACTGCAAAGACTGAATTTAAAATTTTTACTTTTGATAATAAGTTATTTAATATTTCTATTTGTTGAGGAAATTCTGCTGTCACTTGCAGATCATCAATGTTGAAATACTGAACCATTGATTGAATTACATCACCAGCCATTTCCATATCATCTGTCATAACTGTTACCTGTAAATAAATAAGTTTTGTCTTGAATTTAATTACTTTTTTATAGCTTGATTAAATTATATTTCTTAGAATAGTGCTGTCAAGAGAACATTTGTCAGTTGAACCTTTAGGAATATTCATGAAACCAGGAAAATAGGAATATTCATGAAACCATTTAATTCCAGAACTTTTTAAAAAGAAAATTCTGTTTTTATTCTTGAGTTTAAGTTTTGTTTCTTTTTTTTTAATGTTAACTAATATTTATTAACTAGTGATTAAACTAATTAGTTTATATTACTTATTCATATTAACTCATATAGTTTAATTACTAGTCCACTACTATCTCAGTACCGTAAAATAAATGTACTTTGCATAGGGATACTTACAGTGCTGAAACACCCCCTTGATACCAAAGTAGTCAGTTCTGTTATTTTAAAATAAAAATATATATAATAATATATATTGCATGGCTTTAATTAGATAACTAAAGTAATTCTAAGGTAATTGAGCAACATTCTCAATAAACATCAAGGGACAGATGTCTTGAGCAGCATCCATATTCTCGAAATCTTGAATATGCCACTGACTTTGTACCTAAATGGTACAAAGTCAGTGGCATATTCAAGATTTTATCATTTTATTCATGATTTATTCAAGATCATTTCATTCATGATTTAATTTCAACTTACTCCTATATATGGAACCATAATCTACCTTCTTGAAGTTATTAGACCTTCCCACAGTTCTTTGCTTCCTCATATTCAAAAAATTAAAAATTTTCTTAATTTAAAAAACATGCATTTTTTACTGATTTTTACTTTTACGGTACTTTCTGAAGTCAGAATAAGGTTAAGTTTATTTTAATTATTTCTAAATACTATTATGTCTTAAAGTTGTCATGATTTATTACAGTACAACTTATAGTAGAGGCATACTTCATTTCTGTCAACTTTTGGGTTAGGTTGGAAGTACTTTACAACAGCTAAAAGAGGCACAAAGTAACCCTAACATTTGTTTTTTATTTTATACTAATTGATATTTGTATTATTGACAGTTAAATACTATTAAAATAAGAGAATAGTTGTGTTTCAGAATAAAACTGCAAATAAAAATACAATCAGGAAGTTTGTTGTTTTTGAATAGAAGGGAGAACTTTTCCTAGGAAAACAGAACAGTGCAGTGTTGATGGAGTTATACAGTAACTTCAGCCATGTCATGATCAAAGTCTGGATGTGGCTAAGCTATGCTGATTTTATGGAGTATAGTCGGGAAGATGTGTTGGAAGTCAGCAATTCACTAAAGCAGATTTAATTGTGACCGTAGGGTCGGCACCTCTTTGGCGCCCTGTCAGGAGGACTGAATCTGACACCACCGAGTCCTTTGATCGGAGTTTGCTTTTCTCTCGGAGTCTAATTTTTTTTTCAATGTTTTGTTTTTGTGTCGGCCTTTTGTTTTCGTACTTCCGGGATCCTGGGGGCCTTAAAAATCCCACTTCTGACACCACTGTGTCCTTAGGGTCGGCACCTCTTTGGCGCCCTGTCAGGAGGACTGAATCTGACACCACCGAGTCTCTGGGGGACTCGGAAATCGCGACGTTACGTCTAAAGATTCGCGAGCGGTAGCGTGTGAGCGCTTGGATTCGGAGTAGAGGTGAGGAGAGAGACGAGGAAGTGACTTACTCGGACTCCATAGTAACAAATAAATAACAATTTTAATTAAGTCGAACTAAATACTATACAGAGATACTAAATACTATCGGCATATTATTGTTCTTAACTATACTAGGCCGCGGAGAGAGAGAGTTTACAACCGAATCGCGGGTTGATAAATACCTTGTCGATGGACAGTTCTTTGAATCTTGAATGGACAGTTCTTTGATGGACAGTTCTTTGAATCTTGTCGTTGAATCTTGAATCAGAATCTTGTCCGTTCACTGGGGTGGAGGCACGGAGGAGTGTAGAGGCTTAATCCAGCACGAATGTTTTTCTCGGGTTTAATCCTGGTCGCGGTTTTAATTCGGTGTTACGGTTTTAATCCTGGGGCACGGTTTTAATGGTTTGGAGGACGACTTGGTTGGGCGGGCTTGAATGACGACTTCTGTAGAGGGACTTCGGATGACGACTGACCTCGGGATCGTTTTCTTTTCTCTTTTTTTTTCCTCTTGGGTTTTTTCCATGAGGTCAGGTGATGGCCTTTAACGGTCGCACGTCCAATATGGATTCTCCATCAAAAGTTCCTGGTGACACATCCCTGACTAACTTGATTCGACTCAACAAGGAACAAACTCCGTGGGAAATAAATTTTATGGCTTTTAGCCTAACTCGATAAAACGTTCGAATTTAACCAATTATATTTTCCCAATTAAAATTTAAAATAACACTTTATTGTGGGTTTGTTCGTCCCTCACATAATTTCTGAGATTTCAAACACACTTAAAACAACTGGTTTTAGGTTAGGTTTAAGAGTTTTGTTTTCCATACAAAAATTTGCTGAAATGATAATTTTGTGTATACACAATAGACAATAAAATAGATATTATTCTGAAATAATTTGGTTTTTTCATCAATATTATTTTTTTCATATCTAATTGATGTTATGATACAAAGTAAGCATATTATTGTGATAACATTTTTCCAATTTAATTTATTCTCTTAACTTCCAACACACTTTAACAATGATGTAAAGTAACTTCTACAATGAGATTACTTTGCACCACTTTTTATCGTGCTATATAAAAAAATTTACCCATCAATTAGTTTGCAATTCTAATATATGTTTCTACAGCCTTTTGAACAGAGTGTGTAGTACAAAACTTATAGCTTTAACTAAAAAAGATTTATTAATCGTTGTTTACAGAGTGGAGATAAAGTGGTAAGTAGAATACTAATAACTAGTTCATTAATAAACGAGTTTCTGTGCTTTCAAAAAAATAGGCATTTAGTCTACCCACCATATATTTAATTTGTAACAACAGTTTTCCTGTAAGAATTATAGAATTTCATAAAAACTTTATTGATTTCATAAGTTTTAAAGATAAAAGAAATTTTCAGAATCTACTATAAATGATAATTTACAAGTATCATATATGATCAATATAAACTTTATAGTCTAAGGATGTTTTAAAGTTTATTTTAAGCAAGATGCAAATGATTTTTTTTTCTCATTTTTAAAATTTGAAATACATATTAATATTTAATAAGAGTTAAAAATTTGAATTATTTGACTTTTTATGATAAAATTTTCATGTAAGTCATCATTTATTGATTACTAATTGAACTAAATTTTTAAACTGGTTCTTTTCATATATTGTAATTTGAATGTACAGTAGGTATTTTTTTAAATTTAATGACTTAAATAAACATGCATTAATAAATTTAATAAAAGTAGATATCCACACTATTTTTTCTGATAGCCAAATTTGGCTATCAGAAAAATTAGTGTGGATTTGCAATATTGTGACAAAATTTTTTTGATTTAAAAATTTAATAAAATGTTTTAAAATAATAAACTTAATAACTTACATCTCCAGAATTATCCATTTTAATTACTAATAACTGAGATGTGCGAAGTGAAAGAAAACTTATTTTGACATCTCCTTTCACTTCATATTCATTTGATAGTAAAAAGTTTTGATTGATCCATGTAACCATCTGAAAAATAATTAAAATTTTGCAAAAAATTATTTTTCAAGCCATTATAAATTATTTTTATAGCAAATTTTATTTACCCTTTGTATTCTATCATTAATGATAAAATTAACATAACTTTTTGGTTCTTCTTTGATAGGTTCTGTACATAATGAATACATTGAAAATCTTGGCAGTTGACGAGTTAATTCAAAAACATGATAATGCACACTAAAAATTTTTTAAAGTAAAATTTTATGAATCATATAAAACATAGAAACAAATTATTTATTGCAAATATATATGATTACCTTGTCTTATATCCAACTAATGCTTTGATATGAAGATCAATGGGAATATCTTTTGGAGGAAAAAGAGGTATATGAACTATTGAACTTAACTGATTTTCCTTTGGATGACTAGAAGAAAAATTATTTATTCTCAAAAACTTTTTAATGAAATATTGAAAAATAATTTATTTTTATTTTAATGAAATATTTTTATATATAAGAATATTTAATTACATAAATACATGAATATAATATTTAAATACATGACTTTTTAATTACTTATTTACAGTAAATAGAATAAAAAATAACATTTTTATTGGCTTACTTTACCAAGCAATTTTTAATATTTTTAAGAGTATTTCAAAGTTTTAATTCTATTACAGTATTATAATTTTAATTTGATATTCATTCGATTTTGAGGTTAATCTTTTGTTCAATGTTTAAATCAACAATTATTTTTTTTGTATGATTTCCATTGTATAAATATTTACAGAAATTAATTTAGAAACAACATCTTCATACCAGTATGTTACCTGTAATTTACAGTTTTCAATGCAGAATTAAAAAAAAAAAGTTAATTCTTAATAATTTTTGAAAAATATATAGACTTAAATAAATGTCTGAATATCAGAAATAACAAGAAAAAATTTCAATAGTATTAATCATCATCAGTAGATCATCAATAGTATTAAATATATTTGTAATTTTCTATCATATTACAACAAAAACATGAAAGTGTTATAAATTTCATTGACAGAAATTCTTCAAAATACTTGCAATTATTTGAAGGAAATAATTTTTTTCAATACTTATCATCACTATTGAATATACTAATAAAAATGTTAGAAAAAAAAATCATAGACTTACACTACATGACTTTCTCCATCAAATATACCCTCTGCAAAAATTAATACAGATTTTATAATTGTATCATTACTTGTTTGTAATGATATATCAACATGTGGCTAAAAAAAAAAAAAAAAGGAAAATTAATTAATTTAAAGAAGATAATATTAAAACAAATGAATAAAATATTGAAAAAATATATTAATTAATGTAGCATTTCCAATTTTTTTCTTAAAATTTGTTTTAGTACAATAAATCAATTGTAATATATACAGATAACTTAATCACATTTACTATGAACTATGATGAATATAATAAATATTAAAATACATTAAAGTTTACCTGTATGAGGAAGATTCAATAAATAAGGTTAGCAGCACTGCTAAAGAAAACTCATGTAATGTCAAGGATGAGACTAATGTTAAAAGAGTATACAGCAATGCAGCCCTAGGCCAATAGTCATCCCAGCCAAGTGCTATTTGCATCCACTATATAGTTTACAAAGTGGCATTGCCCAAATTAAACTGCACCAGAATCAACAATAAGCTGTTATTCCAATGGTCAAAGGCATTATGAGGTCCATTGCAGGATGTATGCACAATATGGAGAGTCATATATGTGACTGCAAAAAGCTTGAAAGTGGGTTCAAAATTTCAAGAAAAAATTAAAAGCATAGATAATAAGCTGCATAGACATAGGAACTCAAGCCTTTTATAGTGACATGAACAACTCTCCATATTGTGCATACATTCTGTGATGGATCTCATTAGCTCTAATGCCTTCAGCTATCAAACTCAAATAACAGCTTGCTGTTTGATTCTGGTGCAGTTTAATATGAATGATGCAATTTTGTAAATCACACGATAGATATAAACGTCACTTGGCACAGATGATTATTGGTAAAGAACTACATTATTGTATACTCTATTATTATTAATCTCTGTTATCTCCTTGTAGCTATGTTATTTTTCTTTAACAGCACTACTAACCTTATTTATTAAATCTGCCTCAAATCATCAATACAAAAAATTTATAAATTTCAATTATTTAATCATCATCTTTCATATATCTTAATTTATTTAAAACTAAAAAAAAATATAAATTCTTATCATTTCATTTTGAGTTTGATATGTATCAACTTCGGCAGATTTTATTTCCTTGTGAACAAATTTTGAACCTACTTTTATTTTTAAAACTTTCACCCATTATTAAATTTAATAGTCTAAATAATATCTGTTCATTAAGAGCCTTGCTTATTTTTGATAAAACTGAAATTTATAGAAATACAAGTATTTAATAATATAGCAGTCATTTACATATTCACATATGTTTTTATACAGGTGCTGAAGTGTATTTATACAGGTAACTGGAATACACTATTATACTCTAGTTTGAAAGCATATAATAATTAAAATTCATATATTAAGTTTTTATGATTTCTGCATAATAAAATAAATAATGTAATTTTTTTTAATAAACCTAAAATATATAATCAAATAAGATAAAGACACTAATTGACACTAAGAAAAAAATATTCTATTTTTGTTAATAACTTAAATATTTATTTTGAAACAAAAACAATTCCTAGCACAACTGCTACACAAACTTTCTGTAGTTAACTTAAAATTACATTTAAAAAATACATGATAATTAAAAAAGAAAAAAATTTTAATTCTTGAATCAATGTCCTTGCCCTATTAGTTGACACAGCCTAAAACAAAAATCACTACATACAAGTTGACATTTAACCATCAACATCAATTAAATGTAGATAATTGGTATTTAATCCTATCTCCAGTTACAGTTATTTTTGGCATTGGATGTACAGTACATTTATTATTTGTGAATAAGTAATAATTCTAATATTGGATTCATTTTGTTTAAAAATAGTCTTTTTGTCATTGCAGCAATTCAAGATCATCTTTTGTATCTTCTTAATAATACATACATATTTGTAGAGATTTCCCCGAGAAAATATCTTTGAAATGTCAACTATTAGTGCAATGTAAAGCTTTAGTGACTTTACCTTAAATTTACTTAATCTACATATCTTTATTCCAAATGTTTGAAAAATTAAATAAATATAATTTTGTATATTTTTAAAAACAATACAGTAATTAAGATATACAAATTTAGAATCTAAATTAATAATTAAATTATGCATACTGCTTTGTTCTCAGATCCACTATTTATAGACAGTGCAGTTTTCAGTTGTGTATTTGCCTGTGAAGAAATTTACAAATTTAAAAGTATTCAAATGAATTTCAAAAAAAAATTGTAACAACTTATTACAGGAATAACACCATAATTATCATTTTCATGGCTAGGTTTATTCAAAGTCCTTGTTCCACCACTACTACCAATTCTTGAATTCTCTTCATAATTTCTAAGTTCCAATAAGAGAGTCTAAAATATAATTATTTTATATCATAAATATTATTATGTAAACATATCTATTTAGTATTTTTTTAAATTTAACATATGCATGAAGTATTGTTAGTGTTTAACCTGTTTTCGCTGACTCAATTCTTTGATTGTTTCTTGTTCAAAACTTGCATCTAATATGTGATGTCTCATTTCTGTAGTACTTGCACCATAGCCTCTAACTAAAAATAATCAATTTAAAATATTTGATAATTAATATAAAATTGTTAATAAATAATTAACCTTCTCCATCAACTGAACAAAATATAAGTTCTTCTTGTCCATTTTTTAAATAATCTCCTTTAACAATTCCAGCAATACAATGAGAAAAATTATCTTTGAATACAACCTCTCCTGATTGAACATTTCTTGCATCAATCTGAAAAAGGAAATACAATTTAAATAATAATAATAAAAATAATAGTCGTTTAAAAAATTAATTTAATTTATACTTTTCCATTACTCCATCCAGTTATAAGTTCAGGAACACCATCACCATCAATATCAAAATTAAATATACATATTGCTTGGTTTTTTGACTGAAATTTTAAAAATAAATTGTTAAAACAGGAAAAAAAAATTATTCCTACATATTTATTTAATATAATCAAATTTTTATAAATTGCAAAAAATAATTACATTGTATATATTATATTAGAATTAATAATATAAACTATTTACCCTTCAAACAAAAGATTTTACATTATAGATTATACATATATTATGTATATATGTATAATCTAATAAAATTCATTTATGAATCGTGTTAAAATTTAAACAGGCAATGAATACAATTCTCTTAATAGTCATTCTTACTGTAATGCACTTGCCATGTAAACAATTCTTAATGTCTTTGGTTAAGTACAGCATCAGCAATTGAAAGCCAAGCTCTAATGTATTGCAATTATAATCTATATACCCACTTGTAAAATTTTGGAATTGTTGAAATATGTAAAAAATGCTGTGTCTTAATTTTTTGTCATTATGTTATTAAAAAATGATTTACTAAAATACTGTGTAGAAAATTGCTTAAAAAAAAATAAAAATTCTAAAGAAATTTGCACAAAACTTTTTGTCAAATAGTTTGCTTCATATGAACAAGGAGAAATGTAGTCAGAATTTATTTTTGCTTTGTTAAATATCACTAAAACTTAAAATCTTAATTTTATAGTTATTGAACATTCATACAGTATTCTTATTTGGCTTCATTTGAATAAATACATTAATAACTTTTTAGTAAAAGCACGAAAAGTTTGAAAATTGCAATTATAATCCATGCAGTCACTCATATAACAAGAAATAATGAATTTATCACATTATTAATATTGAATTAAAATTAATCAAGTTATTTAAAAGTATTAGTACTGCATTATTGTATTTTTATAGATTTGTGAGTAGAATAGCTGCACAATCTAAATAAGATTGAAAGTGTCTGATCTGCAAAAAAAATTTATATGGTAAATATTTATCATATAAATTTTTTTTCAGATCAGACACTTTCAATCTTATTTAGATTGTGCAGCTATTCTACTCACAAATCTATAAAAATACAATAATGCAGTAACTCTTAACATAGTTCAGCCTTGAAGTAGACTATTTGGACACTTTCACATTGGTTGTTGTAAATATATAAAAACGTTTCAATTAAATGTCACAGAAAAATGTATTAATTTATCAAATATAGTTCTGGCAGAGTAATTAATGATTCATCAAAGAAAAGCAAAATATATATTCTCTTAAAATGTTTCCTGAGAGATATCTGTTGTTATTTAATCTTATTTTTTTTATATTAGTTTTTTCTTCACATTTTAGTCTTGTGTTATCCAGTTAACATTCAGTATTTATTATTTATGCAAGACTTTTTATTGCATTAGGAACAAGTTGTTTTTCTAATATCCAGATTTTTGAAATATCTTCTGAGTATATCAGCTTTGTTCTTTCTGCTTTGTAAAGTTATTCATTCTGTATCTCTATCTTCATTTATGAATTTGCAGAAAGCAATTTATAATTTTTACCTAGATCCAAGATTTCATTACTTATAACAATAATAATTATTTTTCTATCATTAACATTCAATAAACAGTTTTTGAATTCCTATCTAACAATAACAAATGTTTTTACAATAATGTGTGAAAAAAGTGTGTTTATAATTAAATCATTTTCTTTCTAAAAATATAAAATTAATTATCATAACTGTTTTTTCATCATATATTACTATATTCTTTATTAAATTTTATTGCTCTATTTTTTCATTAGAATTTTTTATAATTATGAATATATTTTTGCTGTGAGTACAGTTACTTATATTGAAAAATATTGTTGACATTTTTAATCCTCATATAAAAGACTATATTATCATAATATTTCTATTCTATATTGATATCTGAAGAAGAAACTTAAATTATTGTGATATGAACTCTTCTTTTAACTTTTTTATTTCATAAATATTAAACTAGAAGATACAGAAATTATACTTATTACTGAAGCTGAGAGAACTTTTAAAAATATGAATATAATATGATTACAGAATCTTCCTGATGAATGCAATAATATAAAAAAAATGCAATATTTTTCTTGTGAATGTGCATAGATTATAATTCTCCCTGAAAGATTTTTTAGAAACTAAATGGCTATTTTGAAAACTTGATTATATAATGATATTAATAGCTGCTGTTATGAACTGAAGGAAGAAGTGACCAAATTTTTAATCACGCTTCCTCCAACATTCTTCAAAAAGCATTTGAAGATCACATCTGCTGCTAGAGAAAGTGTTTAGAACAAAGTGGCTTAAACGTCAAAAAATAATTGTAAATAGTAATGTCTTTTCTTAGTAAAAAGTTTAATATCTTTCTACTTCTTCATCCATGTGAGTCCAAGAACTTATTGACCCAATATATATAATTAATAATAATAAATTTACATTACAAATATTTATATATATACATTTGTAATGTAAATTTATTAATTTTTTTATTTTAAATAAATAAATTTTACAATTGTAAAACTTACTTTAATTCTCCAAGATCTTTCAGTTCCTTTATATACACCAACAGTACCATTAGCCAAGGCATATCCAAAATAATCTCCTAATATTGGACAGAGACCAGTAACTGCTTCTGTTTCTGTCATTTCAGATATTATTTCATCATCTTTAAATACTCTAATGTCAAAATCTTCTGAACCAACCAGCAACTGCAAAATTAAAAACATAATATAATTTAAAATATATAAATTTTAATTTTTTTTATCTGATATTTAAAATAATTTAGTGAAATTTAACAGAACTATAAAATATATAGTAATAAT